TAATATAACAATGTGCTTTAATATACCTACTTATCTCTCTCATCTCATTTTTCTCTTGTAATGTATCTTTATCATTTATCAATTCTGATTGAAATTACCTACTTAAAATTATCTGCTAGATTAAGGACCTGCCCGAAACGCTGTGCGTACTAGTGGCTTTACAAGAATGTAAATACTGTACTATCCAATGTATTCTCACAAACCCAATGTACCTTCTTGTATATATATAAATAAATAAATAAATAAATAAATAATAAATGAGAAAGCGTACGGAACGGGGTGGATATGACGTCCACCCCGAACACAAGCTGGAGCGGCTCCGCCAGCGCCGCACGATACGAAGCGACAGTAAGAAGCGTCAATAACGGTCCAGAAATCCAAGAAAAGAAAGGACAAGACAACCCGATGTGAAAGATAAGACAACCTACAAAGAGCAAGAAAATGGGGAAAAGAAATGCCAGGAAACTTCATACTGTCGCTGAGACGAAGCTCGCAGGTGGGACACCATCAACGAAGCCACCTGATCACCATAGAGATGGTGATACACCCGCATTAAAAGACCATACATGAAGAGCCGAGGAGAAGGGCGAACCAGCCACGTACTGGAGCCGTCCAACCTGCCAAAGAGGCGGAGCCACGGGAAACGCCCTGGGTTTGGACACCGATCAAGCAGCATCTGAAAACAAATTGAGCCACCCACCAAGGGGCCACAGGGACTACACTCCTTAGGAAGGACTCCAACCGAGCCAGAACCCGAAGCAACAGCTGGACCGGGAAAAAGGTACATGTAACACCACCTCGAGCAGTTCTGCTGAAAGGCATCCACTGCGAACGCCTCACAGGCATGGAAGGGCGCCACATAGAATTGGAGACTCCGAGACCACTTCAACGCGAAGACGCCCATATCCGGGAATCCGTACATTCGGCAGTCAATGAAAGTGGCGACGATTGTCCAATCCGTGAACAGAGGAATGAACCGAAGCCGTCCGCCAGGACATAGGACACTCCCCGGACATGAAACATACAGAGAGCCAAACCTCAAGAAACCAGCAGACGAGCCACTCGAAAGGACCAAACCCCCAAAGGGTGGACCAAAGGACCATGGTTCTGGCAAGGAACCACCGGAGAACAGTCCAAATGGAGCCGGATGGTAGAGCCCCGAGTGACCTGAACCCTCCGAAGCACAACCAGAACAACCAGACGGCCACGAAACTCCCGAACCGTGCTGTGAGCCCGACGGAAGGACGGACTCCACATCCCTGGCCAGCCTGGTGAGCACCAGTCACGAAGTCCCAGCCGAGAGACGATCTGTCCGTGAACACATCGAGTGAAGGTTCGGGGAGGCCCCAATGCACGGAACCCCAAAAACCCTAAAGAGGAAGCCGGCAACGCAGCACCAACACAAGGTCCTCAGAGGATGAACCCAACGAACACAAAAGAGGTGGAAGGGGAGTCCCTGAAGGAACCAAAACAGACGCCGAAGCTAACCTCGACCCAGCAGACAGACCAGCACAGAGAAGTTCAGACTCCGGCACAATTGCTCGAGCAACCGCCGAATGACCCGGGACCCCCTCAGAAACAGCCGAAAGCAGGACCGCAGCCACAGCAACATCTGTGGAGGGAGACACAAAGAAGCGGTCCAAAAGTCGTAAACAAGATCCAGCCAGGTCCGAACCTGGGACGGAACCAGATGGAATGGCCTCCAGTTCACCAGGAACCCGAACCCGATGATCTGGACAGAACCACACCCCTGGCGAGAAGACAAGCAGACCGACTGGGAGCCCACACCAGCCAGTCGTTGAGGTGGGCTCGAAAACTGAATCCTGAGCAGACACAGACAGGTCACCAAGATCTGGTAAGGATGCATAAATCCATTAAGTGCTCATTACAAAATAGGAAAGGCAACAAAAGCGACAAGCCTGAAGCCCCACCACCAACTGTGCCAGTCCCGGAATCCTGGAAAAGAACGTGCCAAGAAGTTACCCAGAAGTCCAGGGACACCAACCAGACACCCGGGCCCCAACAGAAGCCGGACCTGAGACAACAGTCCTCAGAAGAGAGCAAAGAATCCAGGGCGCAGACTTAACACGTCCAGAAGAACCGCAGATCCACAAAGTCCCGTGTCTGCATTAGAACAGGAGGGAACCCTGGAAGGATCAGGCGTCCAAAATGGTACATCCCCATGGTTCGTGCCCCATGGGCGTACCATGGGGCATACATCCAAACGCACCCACAACAAGAAGACAGGACAAAGCGCAGGGGAAGAAGCCCACCCCGCCAGCTCTGAATCCCCCAAAGGGGAAGAAGCCGCCTGATGCCACCAGTGGCTGGAAGACAACCAAAAACGCCCACGAACTGTGGGACCAATTGAGAGCCAACAGATCAAGTTGCCTTCCCCCCCAGCGCCCTGTCAACAGCGAAGGGAGCGAAGCCCTCCCGAAAAAAAAGTGGGCAGAGAGCACCATGCCGGCCAGACAAAGAAGGCACCAAGAAAGCACAAAAACTGCACCAAAAGACCCACCTCAACAACAAAAACCCCAAGGCCCCGGCACGACCACAACACGTTCCAAGACCCATAAAGATCAGCTTGCAACCGGGTCACACACGAGATAAAACCCCACGAACCCACAAAGGGGGGCCAAGAGGAAGAAACCTCCGGAACGAAACCAAAGAACCCAAGGGAACCTGGAATTGAACCTGGGGGGAGCCCAAACTACCACATTTGCAGGTGGAAATCAGAAAGGGTAAAGCACACCACCTAGACAGAACCCCCCCAGGGAAACGGCCAAAACGGACCGAAAACCGAGGGACAAGGTGTGGGAGCAAGCATAAACAGACAGGGGCTCGTTGTCCAAACCCCAGGGCCCAGAGCCAATAGACAGAAAACACAAAAACCGGTGTAAAAATCACCCCCAAGCATTCCCAGAGGAACAGAAGACAGGCAGAACACCCCAGAAAACAAAGAAACGATAACAGGAGAAGAAAACCCCTGAAAGGAGGTGAAAAACTCACTCAAAACGCTAGCGCGTACACCCAGGCACTGGTAAACAAATCGCAGCGTCGTCGGTGGCCAAGCGGGGAGTTATCCGCAGAAAGAATATGGCCACCAAACAAAAAGACCGACGCAATAGAGCCGAAAACACGCCAGCAAATGTGGGAAGTAAGCAGACAAGAAAAATGAAAAACCCCGCCCGGAAGCAGAAGATTCAGGCAGGGGTAAACAGCCCCAGAACTGCTAACGGACATCCCCCATAGCCCCGGAACCCGCAACAGAGGTTCCGGGGCAGAGCTGTCCTCCACACCGTTCGCCTTAAAGAAAAGGAAGAGTCCAGGGGAAAGGCAGCAAAGAAAGGGCCGCTGGTAAGACCCAGAAGCCTTGGCAGGAGGAACAGGCTGGAAACCTCCATCCCCAACCCGAACGGGGCAGCCCCCAAAGCCGCCCAAGTCTTGGCACCAACTAAACCCCGCCCCAACCCCGAAACCCACAGACAGTCAGGAGCCAGGAACAGGGAGGGGAAAGGGGCAAACAGCACCTAACCGAAACGGGGCAGCCCCGGGGCATCTGGGTGGGAAAACAACTTAGCGCATTGCAGCAACCTAAACCGAGCTTGCAACATGGATGCCGCCTGTACTCTGAACAGTAAGGACATCAGGAGAGGACTGGAGAACAAGTAGAGAACACAATTCGCAAGACTCCGGGTCAAGGTGTTAGTGACCCAACAGGCAGCATGATAGAGGTAAAAGTGGTGACTGTCACCCTGAGACAAGGGCACAGCAACTAACGAACCCACACAAAAAGGGATGGAACCCAGAAGACACATCCAATGGTCCACAGAGCCTCGAGAGGGTTTTCCAGGGCCTAGGCCGACTGCTACGGGAAGCCCGGGCAAGGTGTTGCTAACCGATTAACCCTCAAGCTAACAAGGGGTAGATGCAACACTGAAAACCCCTGCGACGTGTACAATCACTGGGGCCTAGCAGAGGGCCACCATGCAAACAGTACCAGTGGAACTATAGCCACACTAGGCAGACCCCCACCAGGCAAATGAAAATAAAAAAATAAAACCCCCACAAAAGTACACTGCCCCCCAGAGGCAAAAGGAACTGGTCGCCGTGTAGGTGGCAGGCTGCATAACACCTTGACGCCCTAACCAAACAATACTAGCCCCTACCCAAGGCCAAACAAGGGCCCCAAGCCCTAGCTGGCCCAAAGGGCGAGGCAAATGCAGAACAGCAAGAACCTCTACCAGAATGGTTCCCGAATGCCCCAGGGAAGAGAACCCTGTCACGCAGGGGCAGTACTCACAGGGTGCTTAGGGAAGGAAGCCCCTAAGCACATGCAGCTCCAGTACTGATAAGGAACACCTGGCCAGTAAAGACACAAAAAACACAAAAACACAGCAGTGAGCGCCACGAAGGCAAACACCGCCTAGGAAACTGAGGCCAGAGAAGTGTCTGTCTCGGTTGACATTAGCTTATGAACTGGAGTGCCATGCAGCCGGCGTGGTGAGGTCCAGGGCCCCCCTCCTTTCCCTCTCGAGGAGGGGAGGGCTGCACGGATGAGCAGCGCGGTGTTAGTGTTACGTTTGCTCGTTTCCTTGTTTCCTTGGGATTGTAGGGAGTTCTACCTCTCTGTTCTGTTTTTGTTGTTAGTTTCTTACCATGTGAGGTTTGTTTTGTTATGCCTACCTTTCTGGGTACCTAACCCCGGTCGATGACAGATAAATCCCCAACCACGGGGGTTTTCCAGGGCCACTGCTCCCTGCAACCTCTCTGAAGGGGCCAGATTCTGGTGCTGGTCCCTGGTAGGTCTGAACTCCATAGCTAATGTCCCGGTCTAATATAACATACATTACCCTGATAAGCTCCAGGGAGCCGTAGGGGCTCCACACAGAAAGGAATTCGGTAAAACAGACAATTTTTAGATATCGGTAATATCTGAAAATCCCCATTTCCAGCTTTATAAAAATAACAAGGATCTGAACCAAATTAAAATCTAACATTACTTCACTCACTCAAGAACCTTGCTTACACAAGACTAATAAATGAATACAATGAGTTGTACTGTACTTTCTATCAGTTGTTGATATGAGCTCGGAGACATCACTGAAGTACTCTCGAGAGACCACCAGCACATCAGTTCTGTGATCCAATTTACTATTTGGAAACATTTGTCGGAGGAGAGCAAGCCAGGGAACCTGTCAATATGAAACTGCTTTTTACATGTAAATTCTTACTGACCAATAAACTATGATAAATATATCAGCATGTAAATAGAATACAATTTGACAGAAACTTACACTTCGAGCAATCTGGGAAAGTTCACCAATGGATATTAGATTGTTAGAAGCCTGTGGGTCCTTCAGAACGCTCTCTGGAGGTGTGATCTCAGCAATGCGGCTCTCGTAATGGTAGAGGTGTGCTGCAAATTCAAGAGCGTCTGGTCCAGTTGCATCAAAAAGCTTCACTGTGTCCTTAATGTATTGTTTATATGTCTGTTCCACCTGTAAATGATGATTGAAGTAAGATGCTATCGAGTGAGAAATTTTATTAACCGATTCTTACATTCATAAGTGATATTTGCTAAAACGTTGACAAGGTATTTCACTTCATCGAGGAAAGCTGCAGCTAAAAATTATATAATATTAAAAATACAGTGGAACCTCAAGTGACGAGCACCTTAATTTACGAACATTTCAATTTCAGGGCTCTGAAGTATGATGTAGTGGATATAGCACTAAAAAATATATAGCAAATATATAGGATATAGCAAAAAAAGCACTAACGATGCACTTATTAGTATGATTAACTTAATTCACGCAGCTCTTGATAAAAAGGAGTTTCCTGTTGGGTTATTTGTGGACCTGCGTAAGGCTTTTGACACTGTCAACCATCAAAACCTTCTTCTTAAATTACATCATTATGGAGTCAGAGGACACTCCCTGCAATACCTCAAATCTTATCTTACTGACAGGCTCCAGTATGTTTCTGTGAATAATACAATTTCTCCCACCCTACCCATCAACATTGGTGTTCCTCAGGGCAGCATACTTGGCCCTCTCCTCTTTCTCATCTACATTAATGACCTTCCAAATGCCTCCCAACACCTCAAACCAATTCTATTTGCTGACAACACAACCTTCATTTACTCCAGTCCTGACCCCCTTGCTCTAAATGCCACAGTAAATACTGAGCTAGAGAAAGTCCATCTTTGGCTAACTGCCAACAAACTCACCCTTAACATTGACAAAACGTTTTATATTCTGTTTGGCAATAAATCTTCTAATCAGATAAATCTCAAAATAAACAATACCCAAATTTGTAACAAATTAGATGGCAAATTCCTTGGCGTTCTCATCGACCACAAGCTGAATTTCCAGGGTCACATTCTAAATATATCAAAAAAGTTTCAAAAACTGTTGGCATTCTTTCTAAGATCAGATATTATGTACCCCGCCCTGCCCTGGTTACTCTCTATTACTCCCTCATCTATCCATACCTCAACTATGGTATTTGTGCTTGGGGTTCTACTACCCAAAATCATTTACGTCCTCTCATTACCCAACACAAAGCTGCTATTAGGACAATAACCAACTCTGGCCCCAGACATCACTCGGTACCCTTACTCAAATCTCTGAATATGTTAGATATTAAGTCACTGCACATTCTCTCTTGTGTCTTATACATATATAAAACACTGAACTGTAATGCCAATCCTGACCTCAAAAGCTTCATTGAAGGTTGTAACAGAACCCATGAGCACCACACCAGGAATAAATACAGTTTAGATATTCCTAGAGTACGACTTAATCAAAATAGAAATTCTATACAAATCAAGGGACCCAGAATGTGGAATGACCTTCCCAACCATGTTAAAGACTGTACCTCTCTCAACCAGTTTAAGATAAAAACTAAACACTACCTAATAAATACCCTGTAACCCACCTAACTCCTTTATTGTCAACCCATGTCTGTTATTTTATTTTATTTTTATTATTTTTTTTTTTTTTAATCAACACTGTTTGTCAACCTATTGTATTTGTGCTGCTTTTTCAGTCATGTTCCCCTTTTTTTATCTTTATTTGTATTTGTTTTCAACATTTTTTATTCTTTATGCTCAATTAGTAATAAGTTCTAGTTATTAATGTTTTTCTTGCCCGAAACGCATTGCGTAATAGTGGCTTTAGGCATTGTATGTACTAGCTCTATCTATATATCAATCCATTAATGTAACATCACTTGTATGTATGTACCTTACCTGAATAAACATATTTATTTATTTATTTATTATTTATAGTGTATAACTGCCACCTTGATGGCCAGTGTTCGAGTCCCCTGGTGGATTGAGTGTGTAAAAAGTTATATACTTCAAACTTGTGGTTTATAAGCAAGTCTGTGCATTAAGCATTTGGCACTGAGTTCTCCCACATAACAGGGCTTGATGAAAAACGTCAGAGATCCCTCACCATCTCATTGCCTGGGGGAGGAATGGAGTTCTGGTTGGTTAAATACCCCAGAATTCCTACCTCTATTTTAGTTAAGTGAGAAGGTGGTGAAGGCCAAAACCGTTAGTAATTTCAATGCATTATATGACAGAGTGCTGGGGAGATGGGACACCACGAGCATAGCTCTCATCCTGTAACTACACTTAGGTAATTACATTTTGAATAACAAACACGCCGATCGCCGACAATTTGTTTCGATTGGCGAGGGCTCGTTTCATTAACGAGAAAACCACATGGTGCGTTTCCGCTGCTTCTCGCACATTCTCGAACGCCTCCGATGATGCAAATAATTTTTTTTTAAAGATGCTAATGATGCTGGGATATTGCAAAGCATTGAATTTATTTTTGTAGAATAAAAAAAAAAAACATTGAAAAAAGAACAAATGTCAAAAAGGTTCATTTAGTGTGTCACAGATAGCCTGCTCCATGTTTCTTAAAAAAAACGTCGTTGAATGTAATGAAACACCATTTTCTGGGTGTGACCCGGAGGCTCCCTGGAGCTTACTAGGCTGATATGCTAATGTCAGACTTTGGCATCAGTCATGTGTATGGAGTTCTGTGGGCCTACCGGGGACCACGAGCCAGAACCTGGCCCCCATCAGAGAGGCATGGGGGAGCAATGGCCTATAGAAACCCCCGTGTGGTTGGAAGCATTCTATGTCTGCCATCGACTGGGTCAGGCACCCAGAAAGGTAAGCATCCCAAAACAAACCCCTATTCTGGTGAAAATATTGCTACCAAAAGCCAAACAAGTGGATAGAACTCCCCTAAAAGAAACGAGCAAACGAGCATGATGTCACACGTCACCGCATCGCTGTCTGCGCAGCTTCCCCCTCCCTGGGAGGAGGAAGGGGGAGCCCCAGACCCCCTATGCCGGCTATCCACCCTTCAGTTCTGAGGCTGGATGTCAAAAGACACGAAAAAAACGCCGACTGGTGGGAGCTAGGGAGGGATGCCAGGGAAGCCTCCGGGTCTCACCCATAAAATGGCGTTTCATTACATTCAACGCTGGTTTTCTGGGGGGAGCCCCTTCGACTCCCCGGAGCTAACTACCCACAGAGGAAAAAACATAGGGACTTACCCAGAAGGCGGTCGCTGCTCACTCCTCAACTCGAAGTCGAGACAACTGGTTGCAGCTGCCGACCCAAACCAACACAGGCCCAACTAGGCCCAGGAACGTTCACTAGGTAACGAGCAGCCAGGACCCTGTTCGACCGCCAAAAGCCCCCCTCCGAATCTCAGCCCAGGACATGTTGCCAAAGACGGCAACAAGAGCAGCAAACTTATGAACGTCATGGGCACAGGGATAGACCGCAGGCTGGCTATCCTTAGTAACTCTGCAGACGACCTGAGAGACCCGCACCCGCGAACAGGGAAGAAGGGAAACCGGATCAACTCAAAGTGCGTCCGTGGACACAGAAGCCGTGGCGCGCAAATAACAGCGAAGAGCCACAACCGGTCACAAAACATGATGCACCCCCCGCCTGACCAACCAAGCATCAACAACCCAGGGATCCCTCCGGAAAGCAGCAGTTTCATTCTTCGCCAGAAAAGGAGGAGGCGGCTGCAAACGAACAAAACCATCACGAAGAACGAAGGAGCAGAAACCCCTGCACCAGAGGAGAGCATGAAGCTCCCCAACCCGACCCCCAGAGTCCAATGCCAACATAAAAAGAGCCTTAGAGAAACAATCCTGAACAGAAGGGGCCACAACAAGCCGAGGAGAAGAAAGAAAAGAGCGCACTCTGTCCAAAGACCAGGACGGCTCAGGCAGTGCATGAGCAGGCCGGAGGTGAAACAATGCACGAGACAGCTTGCGAAACGGCGCAGAAGTAACATCGATACCGAAATCAAACTGAAGCAGCTCTGCCAGCGCCGCACGATACGAGGCGACAGTGTTAGGCATAAGGTCCTGGAACAACTAAGAGAGAAAGGACAACACCACCCTAACAGAAAGCGAAGTACAACGACGAAGACGCAAGAAGAAACGGAAGGACCGCCAGGAAAATTCATACTTCCGCCGAGACGAAGCTAGCAGGTGGGACACTAAAAAGGAAGCCACTTGATCACCATAGAGATAATGGTAAACTCGAGTAAAACATACCATACGCGAAGACTCGAGGAGAAGATCGAACCAGCGCATGACGTTCCAGTCCGATCATCTGGAAGAGGTGGAGCAGCGGGAAATCCTCTGGGTTCGGAGGACACCAAGCAAGCAGCGCCTGAAACTACAACTGGGCCAGCCACCACAGGGCCAAGAGGAACAACTCTTCCGCCTGGTAAGTCTCCAAGTGAGTCAAGACCTGGAGCAACAGCTGAACCAGGGGAAAGAGTTACAAGAATCCCCACCTCGACCAGTCCTGTCAAAAGGCATCGACCCCGACGGCCTCGCAGTCGGGGAAGAGCGCCACATACAGGGGAAGGTGCTGCAACCACGCCGATGCGAAGAGGTCCACCTCGGGGCAACCGAATGTCTGGCAAAGTCAACTGAAGGAATCGGCATTGACTGTCCATTCCGTGGAGAAGGGGAACGAAGCGAGACAGGCCATCGGCCAAGACACTCCCTGCACGTGAACTGCCAGGAGAGTCAAACCCCGAGAACTCAGCAGACGAGTCACCTGAAGTGACCCGCTCCAAAGAGCCATCAAAAACCCCCCCCTCCCGGCCAGTTCAGACAATGAACCACCGAGGAGCAGTCCGAATGGAGCCGGATCATCGCTCCGCGGGTGACCCGAATCCTCTGAAGAGCAAACCACACGGCCGCGAACTCCGGCACTGTGCTGTGGGCTCGACGGAAGGACAGACCCCACTGTCCCTGGCCGGCCTGGTGAGTACTGGTTACAAAGCCCCAGCCGAGAGACGACGCGTCCATGAACACATGAAGCAAGGGCTCGGGTAGGCGCCAAGGCACTGAACCCTGAAAAACCTGAAGAGGAAGACGGTGACGCAGCAACCAATGCAAGGCCCCCGGGTTCCGAACCCAGCGATCGCGAGAGGGGCAGAAGGGACGTCCCCGAAGGAACCAGAATAGCCAACGAAGCCAATCCCGACCCGGCGGGTAGACCATCATTGCGAAGTTCAGGCTGCCACACAGACCCTCGAGCAACCACCGGGTGACCCGGGAGCCCCCCAGAAACAGGTCATGCATGACCCAGCCATGTCTGAACCTGGGAGGGAACCAGATGGGACTTCCTCCAGTTCACCAAGAACCCAAACCTGGCGAGCTGGGAAAGAACCAAATCCCTGGCAAGCAGACATCTGGACCAGCTGGGAGCCCAAACCAGCCAGTCGTCGAGGTAGGCCAACACCCGAACACCTAAGAGATGCAGACGGGCCACAACGACCCATGTAAGGCATCTGAACACGCGAGGTGCCAAGTTCAACCCAAATGGGGGACAAAGAAAACGGTAACCTTGACGCCCCACAACAAACCTGAGCCAGTCCCTGAACCCCGGATGAATCGGGATGTGCTAATAAGCGTCCCGGAGGTCCAGGGACACCATCCAAGCGCCCGGCTCTAAAATGAGGTGAATCTGGGACACCATAGTCATCCTAAACGAGGGGCAATGAACCCAGGGGTTCAGACGGAACAAGTCCAAAATGAACCGCAGGTCCGCACAGTTCCATTTCGGTACTGGGAACAGAGGGGAGACCCATCTGAGGGATGTCGTCGTTTCGACCATGCCCAAGCAAACCCACTCCAGGCCGACCTGACAGAGCACAGGGGAAGAGGCCTGCCCCACCAGCCCCGAACCTCCCGAAGGAGGAGGGGGACACGCAACACCACAGCAGGCCGAGAGAAACGACCGAAACGCCCACAAATCATGGGACCAAGCGTAAGTGAACAGCACAAGCCTGCCCCCCCTCCCCATCACCCCCGGCAATGGGGCGAACCACGAAAGGGCTGGCGCCCCTTACGAGATCCAGAACCTCGCACAGAGCAATAATTGCGCCGACCAGACGAAGAGGGGATCGAAGGTGGCGCTGAACCCAAAACCAGCACCTGTGGCCTACCACGATGAGAAGAACCCCGAGCCCTGGCACGAGCCCTGGCACAACCCCTCTGGGAAGCCCCCCCTCCCCCGGGACCTCAGAGAACCAACAAGTCAGACATAGGCCGACAAGTAGCTGAAGCAGCCTGAATATACTACGCCACGGCAGAATTCTCAACAAGCAGAGGACAAAAAGGCGAAGACAACCTAAGAGCCAGGGCCCAGGCCGATTCCAGGGAGAAGGCAAGCACTGCCTGCCGTCACATGAGCCGTGAAGCATAGAACAGGGAAACCGCATCCCGCAAGATAGGCACAAACAGTTTCAGCAAGGCAGCTGACGAGCGGGCCGCCGAGCCCAAGGCACTGGACCCAGGTACAGCCCCGAGCGCCCCTACATCCTCCACTAGCCAGTCCGAAGATAGCTCCAGGAGGGAAAAGAAACGCAAGGCCAAAGTCAAAAGGCCACTGGCACGCATGTCCTCGGCAACCTGCGCAGTCGATAGGGAGGGAACCTGCACATGGAGCTGCACCACGCCCACATCCCGGAAAAGGGCAGCGGCAAACAAGCACTCATTGAGGTGCTCCAGGTCGTCCCCCAGGAAAATCTGAACCACCGACGCAGCTATGTGCCACTCAAGTGTGGCTTGAGTGGTCTCGCCCGTGTTTTAATGTTACTCGGTTATGCCAACATGCCTGTCATGTGCCAACATGGTAGATGGTGATAGACCAAACTCAGAAACAACACGTGAAGATCAGAGAACCTCGAACTACCAAGGAAAGTTTCTGGACTACTGTCCTGAGCCCAAGAAAACCTGAAAGACTAAGTTGGTAGAAGAACTGCGGGTTGGTACAAGAATTCAACCAACTACGAACCACTTTTTGTGATGAAATGGAGCAGTAGAACAACAGAAGTACACTTACATCACATCAGGCTTGGATACCCATGTGCATGGGAAATAGGCTTACAGGTTCCGAACAAGGCGAGAGGAAATGTCAGCACTGTGGATAAACGCCCGACAGACCACTGGAATATTATCTAACACAGTGCACAGTTAGAAACCAAATAAGATTTCAACTAAGGTTCAACAGAGCAGTAGTTGTTGTTAAATACATTGGGTATAATATTCATGAAGCAAAGATACGAGTCATAAATACTCACACTCCGCCTAAGCAAGACAGGCACAGTAACACAGTCTGCCAGCCAGAGGCTTAGGACCTGTGCAGGAATATCTCTGCAAAAACAAAAACCTCTATGGCCTCTGCACAATTAGAAAGGACTTGTGTGGCTCGCTACCAATGCAGGTTTATATTCTCTTGTGCTAAAGTTGGTGATTATAATGAAAGGTTAAAAGTTGACACTCTTGGGGGCTTCTCAGATTTCAAAAAGACATTTTCACTCTGGATTGCTAGAGCAACCCTGCCGAATCACTAAGATGCTCTAGAAGGACCTCTTGTTCAAGATTATATCAATATTTATGTATACATCATTAAGAACTCTAAATAACCCGACCAGGATTGGAACCCCATGACGTCCAGGACTGGAAGTCATGACGTTCATGATTGGATGACGTCCAGAATTGGAACCCATGAATACCAGGATTGGAACCCCATGACGTCCGGGATTGGAATCCCATGACGTCCAGGATTACCCCCCAAACGTACACAGGACATGACCACCACACAATTGATCTTCATCAAGGACAAGCAAATACGTACAGATACGTGTACGTATTTGGTCGATTAGACAGTTTAGTGTTTTATATGTATTTATTTAGTATAGTGTTGGTTACAGCAGTCGGTTTGTTAGTAGTGAAGTGAAGTGTAGCAGGGTAGACCTGAGTGAGGGCGGGGGTAGAGTAGCAGGGTAGACCAGAGTGAGGGCGGGGGTAGAGTAGCAGGGTAGACCTGAGTGAGGGCGGGGGTAGAGGAGCAGGGTAGACCAGAGTGAGGGCGGGGGTAGAGGAGCAGGGTAGACCAGAGTGAGGGCGGGGGTAGAGTAGCAGGAGTAGCAGGGTAGACCTGAGTGAGGGCGGGGGTAGAGTAGCAGGGTAGACCTGAGTGAGGGCGGGGGTAGAGTAGCAGGGTAGACCTGAGTGAGGGCGGGGGTAGAGTAGCAGGGTAGACCTGAGTGAGGGCGGGGGTAGAGTAGCAGGGTAGACCAGAGTGAGGGCGGGGGTAGAGTAGCAGGGTAGACCTGAGTGAGGGCGGGGGTAGAGTAGCAGGGTAGACCAGAGTGAGGGCGGGGGTAGAGTAGCAGGGTAGACCAGAGTGAGGGCGGGGGTAGAGTAGCAGGGTAGACCAGAGTGAGGGCGGGGGTAGAGGAGCAGGGTAGACCAGAGTGAGGGCGGGGGTAGAGTAGCAGGGTAGACCAGAGTGAGGGCGGGGGTAGAGTAGCAGGGTAGACCAGAGTGAGGGCGGGGGTAGAGGAGCAGGGTAGACCAGAGTGAGGGCGGGGGTAGAGTAGCAGGGTAGACCAGAGTGAGGGCGGGGGTAGAGGAGCAGGGTAGACCAGAGTGAGGGCGGGGGTAGAGGAGCAGGGTAGACCAGAGTGAGGGCGGGGGTAGAGGAGCAGGGTAGACCAGAGTGAGGGCGGGGGTAGAGGAGCAGGGTAGACCAGAGTGAGGGCGGGGGTAGAGGAGCAGGGTAGACCAGAGTGAGGGCGGGGGTAGAGGAGCAGGGTAGACCAGAGTGAGGGCGGGGGTAGAGTAGCAGCTGGGAGATGGGGCGAGTGTGTAGAGCGACTGTGGGTGAACTGTTGTTTGACATGTGAGGATAATCAGTTGAAGCCACGCTGAGGATTCGAACCTGCAACACGGGGTACTCCCATGTTTACACATGTGTTTGAGACCTATTCATAGATGGCAATAACGCTCTCATAGATCCTAATCCAGTTAAGGATTACAAGATCATTTCAACCTTGTCCTTAATCCTAATATTCAAGTCCCATCTTTCCATTAAAAATAACCCTAAATCCTAGCTCCTAAATTCTAATCCTTTTTAATGGGCTGATCACAGTGACCCTAACTCCATCCTCCTTCAGATCCCGGCACTTATATTCCAGTCATTCTCGGCCCACTTACCTCATTATTGGGCATCCTGTCGTAGTAGCTACGGTGAGGCATTGAGAAGCCTGAGGGCAGCAACTGTGAGGGAGAGATGTTCAGTGAGTCACGGTGTGGGGGAGAGGGGGGGAGGTGGGGGAAGGAGGGGGGGAAGGTAGGGAGAGGGGGGGAGGTGGGGGAAGGAGGGGGGGAAGGTAGGGAGAGGGGGGGGGAGGTGGGGGAAGGTAGGGGGGAAGGTAGGGAGAGGGGGGGGGAGGTGGGGGGAAGGTAGGGAGAGGGGGGGGGGGGAAGTAGGGGACTCTGGCACTGGTGGGGGTATAATATGTAGGCCAGAAAATTCTTAAGAAAAATATAATTAGAAAATATGATCCAGAAATTTGGAACAAATATATACATAGCAGCTGAGGGTACACATGTGAATGTTCCAGCAGCTGAGGGTACACATGTGAATGTTCCAGCAGCTGAGGGTACACATGTGACTGTTCCAGCAGCTGAGGGTGTACATGTGATTGTTCCAGCAGCTGAGGGTACACATGTGACTGTTCCAGCAGCTGAGGGTACACATGTGACTGTTCCAGCAGCTGAGGGTACACATGTGATTGTTCCAGCAGCTGAGGGTACACATGTGACTGTTCCAGCAGCTGAGGGTGTACATGTGATTGTTCCAGCAGCTGAGGGTACACATGTGATTGTTCCAGCAGCTGAGGGTACACATGTGATTGTTCCAGCAGCTGAGGGTGTACATGTGATTGTTCCAGCAGCTGAGGGTGTGATTGTTCCAGCAGCTGAGGGTGTACATGTGATTGTTCCAGCAGCTGAGGGTACACATGTGATTGTTCCAGCAGCTGAGGGTACACATGTGATTGTTCCAGCAGCTGAGGGTACACATGTGAATGTTCCAGCAGCTGAGGGTACACATGTGAATGTTCCAGCAGCTGAGGGTACACATGTGAATGTTCCAGCAGCTGAGGGTACACATGTGACTGTTCCAGCAGCTGAGGGTGTAAATGTGATTGTTCCAGCAGCTGAGGGTACACATGTGACTGTTCCAGCAGCTGAGGGTACACATGTGACTGTTCCAGCAGCTGAGGGTACACATGTGACTGTTCCAGCAGCTGAGGGTACACATGTGACTGTTCCAGCAGCTGAGGGTACACATGTGACTGTTCCAGCAGCTGAGGGTGTACATGTGACTGTTCCAGCAGCTGAGGGTACACATGTGACTGTTCCAGCAGCTGAGGGTGTACATGTGATTGTTCCAGCAGCTGAGGGTACACATGTGACTGTTCCAGCAGCTGAGGGTTCACATGTGACTGTTCCAGCAGCTGAGGGTGTACATGTGATTGTCCCAGCAGCTGAGGGTACACATGTGACTGTTCCAGCAGCTGAGGGTACACATGTGATTGTTCCAGCAGCTGAGGGTACACATGTGACTGTTCCAGCAGCTGAGGGTACACATGTGATTGTTCCAGCAGCTGAGGGTACACATGTGATTGTTCCAGCAGCTGAGGGTACACATGTGACTGTTCCAGCAGCTGAGGGTACACATGTGATTGTTCCAGCAGCTGAGGGTACACATGTGATTGTTCCAGCAGCTGAGGGTTCACATGTGATTGTTCCAGCAGCTGAGGGTACACATGTGATTGTTCCAGCAGCTGAGGGTACACATGTGATTGTTCCAGCAGCTGAGGGTGCACATGTGATTGTTCCAGCAGCTGATGGTACACATGTGAATGTCCCAGCAGCTGAGGGTACACATGTGAATGTTCCAGCAGCTGATGGTACACATGTGAATGTCCCAGCAGCTGAGGGTACACATGTGAATGTTCCAGCAGCTGAGGGTACACATGTGAATGTCCCAGCAGCTGAGGGTACACATGTGAATGTTCCAGCAGCTGAGGGTACACATGTGAATGTCCCAGCAGCTGAGGGTACACATGTGATTGTTCCAGCAGCTGAGGGTGCACATGTGAATGTCCCAGCAGCTGAGGGTACACATGTGATTGTTCCAGCAGCTGAGGGTGCACATGTGAATGTCCCAGCAGCTGAGGGTACACATGTGAATGTTCCAGCAGCTGAGGGTACACATGTGAATGTCCCAGCAGCTGAGGGTACACATGTGAATGTCCCAGCAGCTGAGGGTACACATGTGAATGTTCCAAGATAGTCATCTGTGTACAACACACCCACATGTGAAGGAAAAAACTTTCCTTTACTCAACAGTCACTTATTACACAGTTGAATAAAGGGGCACGAAGGTTGAACAAGGGATGATCTCCATTATTATTTTTATTCTTATATTTTTTTAATTTTATATATATAGGAGTTGTTACATTGTTGTACAGCCACCAGCACGCGTAGCGTTTAGGGCAAGTCCTTAATCCTATGTAACCTGGAATACGACCCGCCAAATCGTTTAACAACCAGGTACCCATTTTACTGTTGGGTAAACAGAGGCTACAGTTTAGGATTAATGCCTAGTAAATCCTCCCCGGCCAGGATACGAACCCAGGACAAGGCGCTCGCGAAACGCCAGGCGAGTATATCTTACCACTTCGCCAGGGGGGAAAATTCAATTCAAAGGGTCATGTTCCGTAATATTAATGACCATTTTATTGGCTAGAGTAATGAATCAATTAAATGGTTAAAAGAAAAAAGAAAAAGACAATTAATACACAACGCATCAGTTACCCCCAAAACGTCTCCTGACATTAATTGATGACATCACACAGGGATCCACTGGATACCGATGACGTCACGGTATCCCAGGTATCCCATAGGTTATAAACAACCCCCCTCCCCCCCACCAGAGCGTCCCGTCCGGCACCACCACATCCCCCTTAACATTTCCCCGCGCAACACGCCTTCATCAAGGCCAAGTAATCAGTAGCAAACTCTAAAACATTTCAAGATGTACATAAGAGGGAATGCCAATAACAGCGAGTCGCTGCCTCTCTCTCTCCCCCCCCCCCTCTCTCTCTCTCTCTCTCTCATTCTTACTTCTCTTTGCCGCGTCCCCCCCCCCCCCCCCCCCCCCACGCCTCCAAGTCCTCAGCTAAAGCGCCCCCCTCCTCTCCCCTTCCTCCTCCCCCAGTGCCCCGCCCCTCCCGGCCCACACTTCTCCCCACGAAGCATGTCATTAGGGGGAGTATAACATGCCCAGGAGCGGGGTGGTCCACACGTGGGTGGTTGAGGCTGGCAACATTCCCTTTAGTGCCACTTCTCATTCACCGGTCTCATGCAGTCTCTTTAGTGCGTCAGCCTGCGGAGTGCATGGCCTTGCAGCCTCCAGCCTATCAGTCTAACTGTCTACCAGTCTACCAGTCTACCAGCAGCAGTAGATCCGGCCCACACTGCCCTTGAACCCGTAGAGTTCAGCTACCAAGATGTTTACTGTGAGTGCTGGCGTAGACGACGAGGGCTCCTGGCTGGATCCATAAGAACGCAGTTGTTTACCTCAAGCGCGCCCTGGAGCGGGCGGCGGCGGCGGCCTGTGCGCTACCTGCCAGTACTTACCTAATGGTTCACCAGGCAGCGTGGTCTAGCTCCACGTGTCCCACCCAGCATCTTGCTCCCTGGCGCCTGGCTTGTTGCAACTTTTTGATGTTAAGAGTTCTTTGTTGTATATACAATGTAAAGCTCCTTATCCACGTTGTCTATTCCTTCAGTATTTCGTATGCAGTTATCATCCCCTTTCGTATGCAGTTATCATATCCCCTTTGCTCCTCTCTTTAAATCTTACATGAAAGAGAACGAGAGACGCAAAAATCAAGAAAAGAGTAGGAGATGGAAGAGGCCCTTCCTCCTCCCCTCTCACACACACCAAGTATACTTCAGCCCAGGTTTACCTCTCCTACTTACACCACTTTTCATTACTTAAAAATGAAAGATGGAGAGAGGCTGTGCACCTTTAACTCCCCACTGACTTACACGGCTTAAAGGAGAGCCCGTCTTACCTTCAGTGTTGTGGGGCGCCGCGGTGCGTGCACCAGCTCATGCACCGCACCGCACCACGCCACGCGCCACGCCACGCGCCACGCGCCGCGCCACGCATCGCATCGCACCACACTACGCCACGACACGCACCGCATCGCATCGCGCCGCGCCGCCGCGCTACGCCACGCATCGCACCACACCACGCACCAGGGCCCAGATTCATCAAGCAGTTACGCAAGCACTTACCAACGTGTTCATCTTTCCTCAATCTTTGACGGCTTGTTACATTTATTAAACAGTTTACAAGCATGAAAACTTCCCAATCAACTGTTGTTGTTTTTTATAAACAGCCTCCTGGTGCTTCCGAGCTCACTAACTGTTTAATAATTGTAAATAAAGCCGCCAAAGAATGAAAAAGATGTACAGGTTCGTAAGTGCTTGCGTAACTGCTTCATGATTCTGGCCCCAGGTTCGTAAGTACTTGCGGAACTGCTTCGTGAATCTGGCCCCAGGGCAGGCCACCACACCAACAACCTGCCAGAGGGTCACCACAACACCGTGACCGCCTGTACACCAACATTTACCACAGTAATTCGGCAGCAGGCGATGATGGAGTGTGGCGCAGGTGGTGGAGGTGTTTACACGCCTCTTGCTCCCATACCTCTTGCCTCCTGCCCGCAACTTGTGCTTTGAAGCCTTTTATACCCTGTAAACTTGTGGCTAGCATTCTTCTTGTGCGTTAGGCTTCACTTTTATGAGAATAAATGTCCGATTCATCCCTCGAGGATTCGCCGTTTCTCTCCTTTACTTCCTTCTCTCAGAGGTGAGTCTCTCACTCGCTCTCAATACTTCTCTCTCACTCTTGCTCTCATTTCTCTCTCTCTCACATGTCTCATATCTTCCGGTTGTGGGGGCGAATCACTCTCGGTATTCGAGGTTTAAAGTTTACACAATAACGCTACAAACATTGCTGGCCCACAGGTTGCTTAAGGGTCCAGGATCACTACATTCAAATTCAAATGTTTATTCAGGTAAAATACATACATACAAGGTGTGATGCAAACATTGATGGATTTATAGATCGAGCTAGTACATACATTGCCTAAAGCCACTATTGACTAAAGCTATATATTGACGAAGTCATCACTTTGGACGCG